ACATCATAATTAAGCCAAATTAGCATTAATTTTGATTCGGAAAGCTTTTCTGTGCAGGTCTTTAAAGCACTAACAAATCTGCATACTGCGTTTGTTGATGCTGTTATAGGTTTCTGACTAAAATTATAAAAACCCGCAAAAAGGTATAAAAACGGACAATTTTTCCGAAAAATCATAGTTCAAAAAAACTTATAACTAAGCCAAACAATCATAATTTTAATTCGGAAAGCTGTTCTATGCTAGTTTTAGTAGATTAACAAAGCTGCATACTCAGTTTTCAAATTTAAAAAATTAAATTTTTTGTCAAATTTTGGCAATTTTAATGATGTAACCCCTTATAAAATTTTCAATTTTCGGAAAAATGTCAAAAATTTATTTTTCGACCGGACATGGCTAGAACGACTGGGCTGTTGATGCTGATCAAGAATATATATGGTTTATAGGGTCGGAAATGACTCCTTCACTGCGTTTTAATCTTCTGACTGAAGCTATACTCTGCAAAAAGGTATAAAAACAGACAATTTTCTTAAATAATCTGAGTTTTCCAAACATCATAATTAAGCCAAATTAGCATTAATTTTGATTCGGAAAGCTTTTCTGTGCAGGTCTTTAAAGCACTAACAAATCTGCATACTGCGTTTGTTGATGCTGTTATAGGTTTCTGACTAAAATTATAAAAACCCGCAAAAAGGTATAAAAACGGAAATTTTTCCGAAAAATCATAGTTCAAAAAAACTTATAACTAACCAAACAATCATTAATTTTAATTCGGAAAGCTGTTCTATGCTAGTTTTAGTAGATTAACAAAGCTGCATACTCAGTTTTCAAATTTAAAAAATTAAATTTTTTGCAAATTTTGGCAATTTTAATGATGTAACCCCTTATAAAATTTTCAATTTTCGGAAAAATGTCAAAAATTTATTTTTGACCGGACATGGCTAGAACGACTGGGCTGTTGATGCTGATCAAGAATATATATGGTTTATAGGGTCGGAAATGACTCCTTCACTGCGTTTTAATCTTCTGACTGAAGCTATACTCTGCAAAAAGGTATAAAACAGACAATTTTCTTAAATAATCTGAGTTTTCCAAACATCATAATTAAGCCAAATTAGCATTAATTTTGATTCGGAAAGCTTTTCTGGCAGGTCTTTAAACACTAACAAATCTGCATACTGCGTTTGTTGATGCTGTTATAGGTTTCTGACTAAAATTATAAAAACCCGCAAAAAGGTATAAAAACGGACAATTTTTCCGAAAAATCATAGTTCAAAAAAACTTATAACTAAGCCAAACAATCATAATTTTAATTCGGAAAGCTGTTCTATGCTAGTTTTAGTAGATTAACAAAGCTGCATACTCAGTTTTCAAATTTAAAAAATTAAATTTTTTGTCAAATTTTGGCAATTTTAATGATGTAACCCCTTATAAAATTTTCAATTTTCGGAAAAATGTCAAAAATTTATTTTTCGACCGGACATGGCTAGAACGACTGGGCTGTTGATGCTGATCAAGAATATATATGGTTTATAGGGTCGGAAATGACTCCTTCACTGCGTTTTAATCTTCTGACTGAAGCTATACTCTGCAAAAAGGTATAAAAACAGACAATTTTCTTAAATAATCTGAGTTTTCCAAACATCATAATTAAGCCAAATTAGCATTAATTTTGATTCGGAAACTTTTCTGTGCAAGTTTTTAAGCACTAACAAATCTGTATACTGCGTTTGTTGATGCTGTTATAGGTTTCTGACTAAAATTATAAAAACCCGCAAAAAGGTATAAAAACGGACAATTTTTCCGAAAAATCATAGTTCAAAAAAACTTATAACTAAGCCAAACAATCATTAATTTTAATTCGGAAAGCTGTTCTATGCTAGTTTTATGTAGATTAACAAAGCTGCATACTCAGTTTTCAAATTTAAAAAATTAAATTTTTTGCCAAATTTTGGCAATTTTAATGATGTAACCCCTTATAAAATTTTCAATTTTCGGAAAAATGTCAAAAATTTATTTTTCGACCGGACATGGCTAGAACGACTGGGCTGTTGATGCTGATCAAGAATATATATGGTTTATAGGGTCGGAAATGACTCCTTCACTGCGTTTTAATCTTCTGACTGAAGCTATACTCTGCAAAAAGGTATAAAAACAGACAATTTTCTTAAATAATCTGAGTTTTCCAAACATCATAATTAAGCCAAATTAGCATTAATTTTGATTCGGAAAGCTTTTCTGTGCAGGTCTTTAAAGCACTAACAAATCTGCATACTGCGTTTGTTGATGCTGTTATAGGTTTCTGACTAAAATTATAAAAACCCGCAAAAAGGTATAAAAACGGAAATTTTTCCGAAAAATCATAGTTCAAAAAAACTTATAACTAATCCAAACAATCATTAATTTTAATTCGGAATGCTGTTCTATGCTAGTTTTAGTAGATTAACAAAGCTGCATACTCAGTTTTCAAATTTAAAAAATTAAATTTTTTGCAAATTTTGGCAATTTTAATGATGTAACCCCTTATAAAATTTTCAATTTTCGGAAAAATGTCAAAAATTTATTTTTCGACCGGACATGGCTAGAACGACTGGGCTGTTGATGCTGATCAAGAATATATATGGTTTATAGGGTCGGAAATGACTCCTTCACTGCGTTTTAATCTTCTGACTGAAGCTATACTCTGCAAAAAGGTATAAAACAGACAATTTTCTTAAATAATCTGAGTTTTCCAAACATCATAATTAAGCCAAATTAGCATTAATTTTGATTCGGAAAGCTTTTCTGGCAGGTCTTTAAACACTAACAAATCTGCATACTGCGTTTGTTGATGCTGTTATAGGTTTCTGACTAAAATTATAAAACCCGCAAAAAGGTATAAAAACGGACAATTTTCCGAAAAATCATAGTTCAAAAAACTTATAACTAAGCCAAACAATCATCAATTTTAATTCGGAAAGCTGATCTATGCTAGTTTTATGTATATTAACAAAGCTGCATACTCAGTTTTCAAATTTAAAAATTAAATTTTTTGTCAAATTTTGGAATTTTAATGATGTAACCCCTTATAACATTTTCAATTTTCGGAAAAATGTCAAAAATTTATTTTTCGACCGGACATGGCTAGAACGACTGGGCTGTTGATGCTGATCAAGAATATATATGGTTTATAGGGTCGGAAATGACTCCTTCACTGCGTTTTAATCTTCTGACTGAAGCTATACTCTGCAAAAAGGTATAAAACAGACAATTTTCTTAAATAATCTGAGTTTTCCAAACATCATAATTAAGCCAAATTAGCATTAATTTTGATTCGGAAAGCTTTTCTGTGCAGGTCTTTAAAGCACTAACAAATCTGCATACTGCGTTTGTTGATGCTGTTATAGGTTTCTGACTAAAATTATAAAAACCCGCAAAAAGGTATAAAAACGGACAATTTTTCCGAAAAATCATAGTTCAAAAAAATTATAACTAATCCAAACAATCATTAATTTTAATTCGGAAAGCTGTTCTATGCTAGTTTTAGTAGATTAACAAAGCTGCATACTCAGTTTTCAAATTTAAAAAATTAAATTTTTTGTCAAATTTTGGCAATTTTAATGATGTAACCCCTTATAAAATCATAAATTTTCGGAAAAATGGCAAAAATTTATTTTTCGACCAACATGGCTAGAACGACTGGGCTGTTGATGCTGATCAAGAATATATATGGTTTATATGGTCGGAAATGACTCCTTCACTGCGTTTTAATCTTCTGACTGAAGCTATACTCTGCAAAAAGGTATAAAAACAGACAATTTTCTTAAATAATCTGAGTTTTCCAAACATCATAATTAAGCCAAATTAGCATTAATTTTGATTCGGAAAGCTTTTCTGTGCAGGTCTTTAAAGCACTAACAAATCTGCATACTGCGTTTGTTGATGCTGTTATAGGTTTCTGACTAAAATATAAAAACCCGCAAAAAGGTATAAAAACGGACAATTTTTCCGAAAAATCATAGTTCAAAAAAACTTATAACTAAGCCAAACAATCATTAATTTTAATTCGGAAAGCTGTTCTATGCTAGTTTTATGTATATTAACAAAGCTGCATACTCAGTTTTCAAATTTAAAAAATTAAATTTTTTGTCAAATTTTGGCAATTTTAATGATGTAACCCCTTATAAAATTTTCAATTTTCGGAAAAATGTCAAAAATTTATTTTTCGACCGGACATGGCTAGAACGACTGGGCTGTTGATGCTGATCAAGAATATATATGGTTTATAGGGTCGGAAATGACTCCTTCACTGCGTTTTAATCTTCTGACTGAAGCTATACTCTGCAAAAAGGTATAATAACAGACAATTTTCTTAAATAATCTGAGTTTTCCAAACATCATAATTAAGCCAAATTAGCATTAATTTTGATTCGGAAAGCTTTTCTGGGCAGGTCTTTAAAACACTAACAAATCTGCATACTGCGTTTGTTGATGCTGTTATAGGTTTCTGACTAAAATTATAAAAACCCGCAAAAAGGTATAAAAACGGACAATTTTCCGAAAAATCATAGTTCAAAAAACTTATAACTAAGCCAAACAATCATTAATTTTAATTCGGAAAGCTGTTCTATGCTAGTTTTATGTATATTAACAAAGCTGCATACTCAGTTTTCAAATTTAAAAAGTTAAATTTTTTGTCAAATTTTGGCAATTTTAATGATGTAACCCCTTATAAAATTTTCAATTTTCGGAAAAATGTCAAAAATTTATTTTTCGACCGGACATGGCTAGAACGACTGTGCCTATTAAATATATATTATTTTTTGATAAGGCTGTTGGGAAAGATTATTACTTTGATAATCAAATAAGCTGACAATATATTCCTAAGTAATCAGTATGACATTTTAAAGAATTGAATTCCAACTTATTTACCTTTTAGAAGATATTTTAACTATTTAATACATAATTCTTATGCTTTATTTATTATTAATTTATTTGTATTTACAACATAATTTCATCTATGTTAATATTATAGGGTAGCATTTAATATTCACAAACAAGTTAGTCAGCAGCAACAACACTTTCAGAAAAGAGAAAACACTAGCGCTGAATTGACATCAAACTGCCATTTATTTTTGGTTTGCGATTCCACTTGGCCAGATTTCCCATCTATTCGCTGGAGCTGGGCTGTTTTGGAAAACGGGGAAAGGATAAGCGAGTTAGCCAAGGTGATGGATGACCAGGCTCATACTTCGGAGTCCTGTTCGTTAAGGCGACGGGCACTAGTCCTGGTCGCAGTTGTGGCTCCTCCCGGGACATTTGACCTTCTCCAGCGCCGAAGTCTCCGTAAGCAGCCCTCCTCCTCCAGGATATTGTAAAGATTCATCAAAAGAATGGCCAAAACCACCAGCAGGGTGACAAAGGCCAGGATATCTCTCAGCGTCCAATAGGGATGTATTCCTGAAACTCCTACTCGATCCAGTTTCTGGGCCTCAGCTTGACCTTCAGTGGGTGGCCAATCCACCTCCACTTGACCGCTGCTCGCTTGCGGTGTGTTTCCCTGCAGGTGAACTCCTCGATCGTTGAGGTAAGTGTACATCTTGTGGTACAGACCAGGTCTCCAGGAGTTGTCATGCATACCCAAGCCCAACTCTTTGAGGCTTTCGTGCTGCTGATGAAAGACCTGATAGTCGAAGGAACTCAGGCGATTCCCCTCCAGAAACAGGCTCTCCAGATCCGGCAGACCCGTCAAACTCTCTACCTCCAAGGTCAGCATTAGGTTGTGGGACAGGTCCAAGATCTTGAGATGTGACGACAGAATGGGCGAGTCCGGAGGCAATCGCACCACTCGGTTGTGGGCCAAGTTAAGGTACTTCAGTCTGGGCAAGAGGAAGAGCTCCTGAGAGTACGGACCGTCGTTCGGCCCATTGCCATGCATAGGCAATGACTCTATCATATTCTTGGACAGATCCAGTCTCTCCAAGTTCCACATCCCTCGGAGCAAGACAGCGATAGCACTTCCATCCAGCAGATTGCCTCGGAGATCCATCTCCACAACCAAGCTCTTGTTGCCCAGTTGGATGTGATTCAGCTCATTATTTGCGGCGTGCAACCTGATAACACTTCCACTGATGACTAATCCGCTCAGTTTGCTGTCCTCCAATATAAGACTCTGGATGCTGCTTAGAGTCATCATTAGGTTGTCCAGCTCTCCAGCGTGGCCCAGATCGAGCAGCCGGAGATTCGGAAGGGAGCCCACTGTTCCTGGAAGAAGGGTCGTCAGGTGGTTGCCATTCAACATTAGGGTTTGTAGTTGGGCATTCTTGGCGAAGATATCCTCACGCAAGTTCGTAAGCTGATTGCCACTCAAATCCAGATGCCAAAGATTGGGCAGGGGATCAAAGGTCTTGGCCGGAATCTCCTGGATACCATTGCTCTGCAGTCCCAGAAATCGGAGCTTGGCTAAGCCCGTAAAGGCCGCACTGTGGACTGTGTGTATGGTGTTGTGACCCAGTTCAAGAATCTCCAGGCGGGGCACCGTGGTGAACAGCTCATCCCTGAGCACTCCAAGACTCGTGCGTTGCATCTGAAGCGACGTGAGATTCGCCACCGGCCTCAGGCTCTCTTTTCTGATGTGATAGCTGGCGCAGTTCCTGACTACAAGCGTCCGGAGTCCCGGCGTCAGGTTGAGCACAAGCCACGGCACCGTCTGGCGGCTGCAGTTCGTCAAGTGCAGCTCCCGCAATTTAAGGGCCGGAGTGCTCGAGTAGGCCACCAGCTGATCATTCACATGGCAAAAGGTATCCGGACAACTGGCACTGAGATTCAACCGTCCGGTGGAGTCGTAAACAGAGGCGGCACCTCCCAGCTGGAAGCCACAAAATCCCAGCAAGAGATACACATGCCAGTGCATTATATTATTTATATTATTATTGTTGTTTAAATAAATTACGATTCACTTTGCTCCCACTTTGTTTGGACTCTCGAAAGGCACTAAAGCACCAGCATCGGGGGCTTATCTGCGTATATGGATGATCGGCGGGTGTATGGATCCGCTGGGAGAGAGCGTCACTGATAAGGGGATAATGTAAAGCCCCCGGGAAGCTTTGCGATCACAACAAAGTAAAGCTTTCTCCTCATGTTGCCAGAGATAGCTCGAAATCGGTTCGTCAACATGAGGCGAGCAACAAGCTGGACTTGGTGGTGTTCCCAAGATTCCCCAAGTAAAATGATTCCTATATCATATATAAAACAAGAAGGAAAACTAACTTTGGAAAACCGAAGAGTAAATTCTTCATACCTTAGTCAAAAATCTATTAATTTGCATTCGGAAAGTTTTCCTATGTTAGTATATAGTATCGTATAGATACCATTAAACCCCTTTCTAAAAATTAAGAAGAAATTTCTTTAATGGCGCGTCGATATTTACTTAGCTTTTATTTGATTGTTGGATTCGATATATCAGCAATAGGACCTTCAAATAGCTCTTTAGAGGGCTTTCAATCAATATTTTGTTATATGTTATATAGGGTTCATTATATGTTTATGGTTTTGTTATTTTTTATGGAGATAGCAAAGTTTAAAAATCTCATAACTTAGTCAAAAAAGCATTAATTTCAAATCGGAATGCTTCCCTATGCTAGTTTTTAGCAGGTTAACAAATCTGCTTACCCACTTTACAATGTTAAAAAATTCAAATTTTTGCCAATTTTTGACAATTTTAATGATGTAACCCCTTAAAAATTTTTCCAAAATCGAGAAATTTTTTGAATTTTTTTTTTTTTGCGGACATGGATAAATTGACTCAGCTGTTGATGCTGATCAAGATTATATATGATTTATGGGGTCGGAAAAGACTCCTTTACTGTTTTACAATCTACTGACTGATAATAATTATAATACCCTGCAAGGCTAATAACTGATTCTAAAGGAATTAAGTATGGTTTATTGTAGAATCTTATTTAATTATTTTATTCTTTCTTTCTTTTACGAAAATATAGCTAGGAAGTACATGCAGATATAAAGGTTTTAGTTTAAAACTTTACGACTCCGATTCTGGTCGCATTAGGAACCTAACTCTGCTTTCGGAGGTATCCTCCGTCCTCTGTCCCCACTTGCATCCGAAGCAGCAATTGATTCCTCCTCTTCCATAGAGATACATTCTTGCATATACCAAGACTCCGAGAAGAAATATCACAATGAGAATATCGTACACACTCCATTTGTGATGTTTGTCTTTGGATTTCTCTGGGCAGTCTTTCACAATAAAGTTCACATCTGTGTAGCTGAAGTATTCAATCATCTCATTGTATAAGTTGGCACTAAATTGATTCCCAAAGAGATTTAAGGTCTTGAGGTTTCTGTGCCCTTGGTGTAAGGTGCGATATTTAAAAGTAGTCAAATTATTTCCTGCCAGGAGGAGACTTTGAAGATCGTGAGCTGCATCAAGGGCTTCCAGTGAAAAGCATTCCAGTTTATTATGAGACAGGTCCAGGAAGGAAAGCCGTGGACCAAAAAACGAAGATTCCAGCTGCAGGCTAACCAATCGATTGCTGGACAGATTGAGGAACCTGAGGCTGGGCAGCAGGCACACATCAGGTGAAACATTGTTAGAAGACAACGGAAGAGTATCGATCGAATTATGCGACAAATCTAGCCTCTGAAGACTTCTCATATTACAAATAACTTTGCTGATGTTTTTCCCCAGCAAATGAGTTCCCCGCAGGTCCAGTTCTATCAGCGAAATGGGATCACCCAAAATCATATTGGTTAATTTGCTGTTTGCCGCTCGCAGCCTGAAGAGACTTTTGTTGCCTGTGAACTGCAATCTCTCCACTCCACATTCTTCCAGAATAATAGTGTCCACATTGGAGTACAACACCAGCTCCTTCAGTTGTGAGCAGCGACCGAAATCGAGCAATTGAATAAAGCTTTGAGGCCCTTGAGTTGGAAAGACAATGTGGGTCAAGGGATTCCCTCTGAGAAACAGCGTTTTCAAGTTTGGATTCCGGGCAAAAACACCTTCGCTTATATTAGAGATTTGATTATCACTCAGGTCCAGGTTTCTAAGATTCTCGAGGGGATGAAAGACATCCTCCGGCAGAGACTTAATCAAGTTTTTCTGTAGCCCCAGCGTCTCCAGAAGGGTGAGTTCCCGAAAGGTTCCATTGGCCACCCTTTCGATGGAGTTCCCTCCCAGTTCTAGGATCTCCAGCCGGTACATGACAGAGAACTGGTTGTTGTGCAGTTTGGAGATTTTACTATGCCGTATGTGTAACTTGTTCAGCTTGTACGTCAGCTGAATGTCCTCCTTGGCGAAGGGATCATCATGGCAATTGCTCAATGAGAGGATGCGAAGATTGGGTGTACTTTGAAGCACCTCCAACTCCCGGCAATAGCCCAGGTGCAGTTCCGTGATGTTTGGAGCCTGACTTAAGGCATATTCCGCTTTCATATCCGGCAGACTGCAGAAAGATTCCGGACAGATATCCTGAAGATAGTTACCTCCTAATGCAGAGACTGCCGCCACAAGTAGCAGTTGAAGAATAAACATATTTCTAGGTAATTAGATGATTCATTCACTTTTTCAGCACGTTTGCATTATCACACTCAAAATATTCAATAGGACCTGACAGCAAACAGTAAAGTTTTTATCGAAATTCCGACGAAACCCTAATTCCAGTTAAAGTAAACGCGGGTTATGTTAAATCCGATCAAAGTTACTGCCAGATACATAGATAACTTACTGAATAAAGGCGGATCCAATCAGCTGTTCTTCAAGAATTTACACATCGATAAATAAAGAAAAGTTCTAAAACACTAAGCTTTTTGGTGGCCAGCAATATTCGATAGATAGGCGCGTACTTTGTATAGTAAAATATTTAAAACGCGGAGTCAAAGTAAAACAAACAACTCCAGGACACCAAAGTTTGTATACCCATGACTTTGTATACCGCTATTAATCATAACTAAAAATGTATTAATTTCTATTCGGAAAGCTTTCCTATGCTAGTTTTTAGTAGGTTAACAAATCTGCATACCCACTTTAGAATGTTAAAAAATTCAAATTTTTCCCAATTTTTGACAATTTTAATGAATTTTATAAATTTTATTTAAATTTTATAAAAACTGCCGAAATTGAGAAATTTTTATAAAATTTTTTTTCTTGCGGACATGGATAGATCGACTAAGCTGTTGATGCTGATCAAGAATATATATGATTTATGGGGTCGGAAATGACTCCTTCACTGTTTTAAAAGCTTCTGACTGAAATGGATATGCACTGCAAGGATGCAAAAAGTAAAAAAAAAAATATATATAATTATCATTAAGCCCCCTTTTAAAAATTAAAAAGAAATTTAATGGCGGGTCGATATTCACTTGGCATTCATTAGATTTTTGGATTTGATATACCACTAACAAGACATTCAAATAGATCTTTATAAGGCTTTTAGTCGATATTTTGTAATATTTTATGTATTATATGTTTATGGTATTTGTTATTTTTTATGGAAATAGCAAAGTTTAAAAATCTCATAACTTAGTCAAAAATGCACTAATTTCAATTCGGAAAGCTGATCAAAAATATGTATGATTTCTAGGGTCGGAAATGACTCCTTCCTTCCGTTTTAGGCATCTGACTAAAATGTTGTTACCCTTATAATTGCAAGGGAATAATAGATTGTGACATTTAGTTTAGTTTCAATAAACAAGCAATAACCGAGCCGATATTTAATTATTTAAATATACGTAAAATATAATCTTTTTACCCTGTATATTATAAGTTCCTTTATAACAAAAGTCATGAAAGTGCTGAGTAGATCTTTGCTGATCCTGCCACTCCCTCTGCGCCTAATTGTCCTTCTGAATTATATGGACATGCTTGTCGGAGAATTATTCATTAATTTCGTTGTAAAAACTAGAACTAAACTTATTGTCATAAAGTGCCAGCTCCTTAAGGTTTCTGTGCCAGTCGTAAAGGTAGCGATAGTAAAATCTTGTCAGATTATTTCCTTCCAGCCGCAAACTTTGAAGATTTTGGGACTTCAGGGGTTCCATTGATATGTTCTCCAGCTTATTATGGGAGAGGTCCAAGAATATAAGACTGGGCCCGAAGAGGGGCGATTCCAGAGGCAGACTGTCCAATTGATTTCTGGACAGGTTCAGGAACCTGATATTGGATAGCGGGCACCTCCTGTGGACGAAATTGCTTGCGGACACGTGGGATGTTTCTATCGAGGTGTTTGACAAATCAATCCATTCAAGGGTTCGTAAGTCGCAAAGAATTTCGCTGAGAAATATGCCATCCAATTGAGCTCCTTGCAGGTCTACGTGAGTTAGGTTGCTGTTGGCGGCTCTCAATCTTCGGATGCTTTTGTTACTAAGCAATCTCTTCACTCCACAGTTATCCAGGATTAACATATCTACCTCAACGTACAACTCTATATTCTCCAGCTGACCACACCCACTTAGATCGAGGAAATTAAATCTTAACTTGGGTAGACCGATGGGGAAGTCTACATTAATCAATGGATTTCCATTGAGTCGAAGCAAATTTAATTTTATATTCCTCGAAAAGGCATCTGCTGTAATGATAGAAATCTGATTACTACTCAGGTCAAGATTTTCCAGTTTCTGTAGAGGGTAAAAGATACCCTTCGGGAGAAACTTAATTGAATTGTCCGCCAATTCTAGATTCACAAGTTGTTGAAGTTGTTGGAAGGTTCCATTGATCATTGTTTCGATAGCGTTTCCCTTCAAATCGAGAGCCTCTAAGTCAGGAATTTGAGCGAACTGATCATGATGAAGCTCTGAAAGACAGCTGTCCCGAATCGTCAAGACCTTAAGATGAGACATTGTGGCCACGGCATCCAAGTTGAAATCCCTGCTACAGTTGATCATATTCAAGTATTCCAGATTAGGCGTGAGCTCCAGCACCTTGAAGTTTCTACAGAAGCCCAAGCTCATAGTCTCTATCCTCGGAGCAGGTTTTGCTGAGAATTGTATACGAGTGTCCAAGTCCGAAAGCCTACAGGTATTGCCTGGACATAGTTCATAGAGATCAGTGCCTTTCACAACAGAGGCAGTAGTTAGGATCAGAACGTAAAACAAAATCATGTTTTCAATTTAAATTAAAACAATATACTGTTGTCTAATCTCTGTGAATGAATGAATAAAACTAAGCGTGTCTCAAAATTGATTAGCCGAAATTGCGGCGAAATAGTAAACCGAATAAAGCTGAGCGAAAACAGCTTTTCGAAGTGAGATTATGCCCAACGACCCACTCCACTCCCCACATTGAGCTGATGACTCCCAATAAGCTTTTGACGACATGAAGGGCAGACCTCTTAGAAAACAAAATAAATAAAATAATTACATAGTATATATAAAAGCTTTTAAATTTTTGGGCTTATATTATCAGCCACACAAAAAAGATAATGAAAATCAAAATTTAAAGTTCAAGTAAACTCAACAGATCCACACAATCAAAAAATTTGAAACAAATTGCAAAATCAAAGTATTGTCACAGATTCGTCTGAATTTTTGTAGTCTACATTTTGTACAAACTGTTTTAAAGAAACAATAATTTTATTTATAAATATAGATTTACGCTCCTGGATTCCCATAATCGATTCATATTTCCGAGTCTTCAATACTGACGAGTCTGGCTTCCATATTGGACCTTCGTCTCTTTCCTAAAATCCGAGAAAGCGAAATAAGGCATTTCTCACGTCTGCGGGAGTATCGAAATTGCAGGAGAAGGATCACATTAAGGACAAGAGATGCCAATAGGCCTGTAAAGATCACTATATCCCCCGAGCTCCATTTTTCAAGAGCCGTGCATTGCTGAAGTTTAGGAAAACGGTGCCCCATTTTTGGTGGTGATAGATCAGATTTCTCCATAAAGTTCCCCGAGATATTGTGACCAGGAGTTGATCCCCGAATCTTTTCTATGACTCTGACTCCGGCTTCCGTGAAGTATTTGGTGATGGCATGGTAACTTTCCGTGGTGAATACGTTATCGAAGAGCGACAACTCCCTAAGGCGTGGCTGCTGCTGGTAGAAGTGATCGTATTGGAACTCCCGGATGAGGTTCCCTTCGATGTGCAGGCCCTTCAGCTCCTTGATCAAGCTGAAGATATGGGGCTCTAGGCTATATATTAAATTGTACGAAAGGTCCAAGTAGTTGAGACTGGGGGACAGCAGCGGCGAGTCGCTGTGCAGGTGTTCTAGGAGATTGCTCGACAGGTTCAGGAACCTGAGATTGGGCAGGAGGAAGAACTCACTTGCATTGTCGCCACTGGGCACAGGCAGACTGTCGATAAGGTTCTTTGACAGATCTAGGTAGTCAAGCCTCCACATCCCCATGACCATACTGGGAATGTCATCGGCCTCCAGTTTGTTTTTATGTAGCTCCAGCTTGACAATGGATTTCTTGTCGCTCAGGCTGAGATGGGTTAGCTCATTATTCGCCGCCTGAAGCTTGGCCACACTGCCCTCGATGGAAAGGCTCCGCATGTCATTGTTCTCCAGCATGAGAATGTAGGCGTCATTGAGATGCAGTTCCTCCAGGAGGCCACAGTTGCTCAGGTCCAGGAGAATAAGCCGCCTCGGTGACCGTAGAGCCGAAGGAAATACGTTGGTTAACGGATTTCCATGTAGTAGTAGGATCTGCAGCCTGGGGCTTCCAGCAAAGATTCCTTCCTGAAGGGTTTCTATCTTATTATTGCCAAGGTCAAGATGTAGAAGCTTTCGAAGCTGGAGGAATATTCCATCGGGCAGGGCGGTAATGTTGTTGTCCTGCAATCCAAGCAGCCACAATTTAAAGAGTCCCCTGAAGGTGGTGGCAGGAATTCGGCTTATGGCGTTGCCTCCCAGCTCAAGAACCTTCAGATCGGGCAGCTTGGCAAACAGTCCATCACTCAGCTCGGGCAGATGGCCACCACGCAAATGAAGGTAGCCAAGATTGGGCAACGCACTGAGGTCGTCCGCATGCAGGTCGCCACTGGAGCAGTTTGCCAAGTCCAGGGTGTGCAGATTGGGGGAGTGCCTCAGCACTGTGAGGTTACTGCAGTCGTCCAGATGGAGCTCCCACTGATGCGCGGCAGCAGGTTTGTCTTCGGTGTCGTTTGAGTCTAGATCGGTACCGTCACAGGTGATTCCCTCGCAGGTGGGATCGAAATCGGTGATCCCCAGAACAAAAATAGCTGGAAGTAGCGACACTATGTAAAGAATTCGATCCATTTATAGTTTTAATGCTCGTTATTCTTAATTAAGCTTCTTTGTATCTATCATGGATCAGAGCTATTCGTCGACTAATCCAAGAGCGCCAGAAAAATCTCATATTCCGACTGCACTTCGTTGACATTCCCCGAGAGCTTTTACACGCGGGTCTCTTACTTTCCCTCTTACTATCAATTGACGGGAGAAACATCAATTTAGCTTGCTGACAGAGGGAACATCAACAGAACAGAACAGAGGTCAGGCAAATCAGCTGTTTTGTTCCAGATTGTATCTACGGGTCAACTACATTTCTGCCATAGCAGTAAGCTTTCGGATGAGAAATAAAGATTGGCGCGCATTTAAATTGTGTATATACAGTCGAGTCCCGATAATTCGAAATGGCAAGAGGATCACTTTTTTTACGAATTAGACGGGAATTCGATTTATCGAGATTTCTATTTAAAGGGGCTCAAAAATGAAAGAGTCGAATAAACGGGGTTTTTACATTTCACATCATGTTTACATATGTATTTAGCTTTATTAAAATTAAACAAACATAACAAATATGTACATTCATTTGTACGTTTTTCATATTAAAGGAAAATTAAACAAAAAATTAACAAACAAAATTAAGCAGAAACATTAAATTATTAAAAACGAAAATTTATGCTTTAAAATAATTGGTAATTTTTGATTGCTTCGTGTTTTTTTTCTTTTATTTTTTCCATCGCGTTTTCTAAACCTATTAGGTTGTCAAACACACTATTTGGCACATCATGAGTCGAAAAATAATGTTTAAGTTGAGGAATTAATGCTCTGGTTTGTAAATTCTATAAAATTTCTTCTCCGTTCTGATGTCTGCAAAATCTAACGTCGCTTTAACTACAAAATATTTCGCATCGCATTACGATTTATAAGAGGTTTCGAAACAAAATTACGATTTATAAGACATTCAATATTCTTTTGCGTTGCGCCAAATACTACGAATTAACGAGTTTTTTTTCAAGGGGACAGAATTTTTTACGAGTTACAAAAGTTGCAAGTCATTGTTTATTAGTGTTCAAAGTTAGTAAGTGAACATACATACTTACTGATCAGAGTTACTTACTGGTCATAGATACTTACTGTTTAGAGTTACTTACTGCTCAGAGTTACTTAGTGTTCATTGATACTTACTGATCAGAGTTACTTACTGCTTAAAGTTACTTGCTGATTAAAGTTAAATTAAATATCAGCTCGCTGCTGCTCTCTGCCTCTCCCCCACTCTCGCTATGTTAATCGCTCTATGTTAATCTCTAGAGGCAACAGCTTCTCTCCCACGCACTCACATTCTCTTCTCTGCTCTGCTCTGCTCTGCTCTGCTCTGCTCTTCTCTGCTCTGCTCTGCTCTGCTCTGCTCGCGGACTATAAATAGAGGCGCTGAGGGCCCGCGCTCCTCAGTCTGTCCTAGGGGTACCTAGTGTTAACATCTCAAGTGATAGTGCAAGTGATCAGCCTTCGGCCTAAAAATATGACGTGGCCAATGCAATACATCTGGATGACTAGGAAGAAGCTCCCTTTGGATGGAATCAGCATTTTTGGTCACAACACTGGAAGGAAGTAAACAATGACGTGTCCTCTACTGCGGTAAGTCTTAAACATGACATTTATATTACAGTCGAGTCCCGATAATTCGAAATGGCAAGGGGATCACATTTTTTACGAATTAGACGGGAATTCGATTTATCGAGATTTCTATTTAAAGGGGCTCAAAAATGAAAGAGTCGAATAAAGGGGGTTTTTACATTTCACATCATGTCTACATATGTATTTAGCTTTATTAAAATTAAACATGTACATTCATTTGTACGTTTTTCAAGTTAAAGGAAAATTAAACAAAAAATTAACAAACAAAATTAAGCAGAAACATTAAATTATTAAAAACGAAAATTCAAGCTTTAAAATAATTGGTAATTTTTGATTGCTTCGTGTTTTTTTCTTTTATTTTTTCCATTGCGTTTTCTAAACCTATTAGGTTGTCAAACACACTATTTGGCACATCATGAGTCGAAAAATAATGTTTAAGTTGAGGAATTAATGCTCTGGTTTGTAAATTCTATAAAATTTCTTCTCCGTTCTGATGTCTGCAAAATCTAACGTCGCTTTAACTACAAAATATTTCGCATCGCATTAGGATTTATAAGAGGTTTCGAAACAAAATTACGATTTTTAAGAGGTTCAATATTCTTTTGCGTTGCGCCAAATACTACGAATTAACGAGGCGACCAAAATGTATGGAATTTTTACGAATTAACGAGTTTTTTTCAAGGGGACAGAATTTTTTTCGAATTATCGCGATTTTCGATTTAGCGGGGTACGAATTATCGGGATTCGACTGTATCTAGAAGACCTTAGCAATAAATAATAAACAATTTCGTTGGATTGAAGTGCATGAACTAACACTACATTTATTATTTTTTATACAGATACATTTCAATATATTTTCAATTATCAGAGTTATCAATGCTGACGAAACTTGCTTTCAATCTTGAGGTCATTCTTTGTCGAAAAGAACGCCTGCTGATGCCCTTTAGTCGCAGGAAAAGGATCACATTGGAGACTAATGCAATCAACAGACAAATAAAGATCAGAACTTCGAAGATACTCCAGTCATCCGAAGCTGCATGCTCTAATATCTCTACAGAGGCAACCTGATGTTTCTCTATTACAAGAACACCGGCTTCTGTGAAATATTTAGTAATATTGTAATAGCTTTCCTTGCTGAACTTATTCTCGTAGAGAGCCACCTCTTTAAGGCCTCTTTGTTCACTGAAAAAGCGATCGTATTTGAAGTGCCGGATACGGTTTCCTATATATAAATATTATAAATCACACCGAAGACATGTGGCTCTAGGACGCGTATCCTGTTGTACGATATGTCCAGGTGGATGAGACTGGGGGATAGCATGGGCGAATCACCACGCAGGGTCTCCAATCGATTGCCCGACAGGTTGACAAACATGAGATTGGGTAAAATAAAGGCCTCGCCAGGATTTGCGCTCTTGAGGGAGGGCAGATCTTCTATTTGGTTCATGGAAAGGTCCAGATGTTGGAGTCTCCACATGCCCAAGAGGATACCGGGTAGCAAATGGGATTCTAGCTTGTTGCCATGCAGATCCAGCTCGATGACCGGAATCTTGTTGTGGATGTTGAGAACGGAAATCTGATTATTTTCGGCCCGGACTTTGCCAACATTTCCAAATATGTCGAGTCTGTTAAGTGCGCTATTGTTTAGGATCAGGGTATCAGTGCTGTGCACTTGGAGCTCATGAAGGGAACTACAGTTGCTTAGGTCCAGGACATAAAGCTCTGTAAAGGACTCCAGAGTTTTCGGCAATAGCTTTGTTAGCGGATTTCCATCGAGAGTTATCACTCTTAGGTTTGGGTTATGAGTAAAGAGGTTGTCCTGAAGAGTAACGAACCTATTACTGCTGAGGTAGAGGTAACTTAGATTTGGAAGTGGCTGAAAGACATTATCCGGCAAACTGCTTATGCTATTGTTATCAAGGGAGAGGAGCCACAGCTTGGAGAGCCCCTTGAAAGCGTTAGCAGAGACCCGTTCTATGTCACTAAAGGTTACTCCGAGTAGCTCCAAACCGGACAACTTGGCAAACATTTCATCGCTCAGCTCCACAAAGTGTCCACTGTGCAGCAAAAAGTGCCTAAGCAGAGCCAGCTCACTGATGTCGTCTACACTGAGGTTATTACTTGTGCAATTCCGTAATTCCAAGAAGTGAATGTGCGGCGTAAGCTTCAGCACTGTCAGGTTTCTGCAAGAGTCCAGAATGAGTTCTCTTTTATCGGTATAATTCATATCCGTGAAGTTGCAGTTATTTTCATTGCAGGAAAACTCGGATTCGGGGACCCCCAAAACGATTATAGCTGGCACCAGGAATAGACATAGAATATAATCCATTTGTTCTTTAGATATAATATATTCCGCTTAGATTTTCATTTGCGATCTTTCACTTAACGAGGTGGCTGCCTCGACTGATCCAAGCAAGAATCTCATATTCGTAAAATGGTCGGAAAAAGCTTTTACAAAAAAGTCTCATATGCACTTTCTTTCTTATAATCAATTGAGGAAACCAATTATTATCTCATTCGTAATAGCGCTCATAAAAATCTGTTTTATACGGAAATATATATATATATAGTATGTATATGTAATAAAGGAAACTAACTATCTTTAATAGCATTGCAGCTTTATAAGACAGATTTAATTTTGACAAATCAACGTTTTTAAAATACTCATAACTCAGCCAAAAAAGCATTAATTTCAAATCGGAAATCAGTCTCATGTTAGTTTTTAGTAGGTTAATAAATCTGCATACTCAATTTAAAAATTATTAAAATTGAACTTTTGACAAATTTTGACAATTTTAATGATGCAACCTCTTATAAAATTTTTAAAATTTTGAAAAATTTAAATTTTTGATCGATCGCTTCGTCTTTTTAGGCTGATCAAGAATATATATGATTTATAGAGTCGGAAACGACTCCTTCGCTACGTTGCAGGCTTCTGACTGAACTTATAATACCCTTCAAGGGTATACAAAGAAAACATTGGAATGCCGGATACGTTCTTCTTTATCAATTTATTTGTTACTAAAATGAATATATGGTTTTATAAAGATTTTACATGTTTATAGATTTATATTTCGCATTTATTTTCCATCATTCGAGTAGATATCTATTGTCATTTAGTCTTCCTCTGGAACGGCGGAGCTGTATGACCAGAATTATATTAGACGTCAGGGCAGCTAAAAGACCTAAAAGGATCAAAATTTTCCAAGAGCTCCATTTTCTAAAAGTGTTCAGCTGTCGATGCTCTAACTCGTTGCTCTCCAATTCATCAATTAGCTCTTCAGAGGAAGGTTGAGCCACGAAGTCGTCGTTTATTATCTTAGCCCGAAAACATTTCATCATAGAAGACTTTTCCTTCACGGAAGTGAATCCTTCCGAATGAAATTCTCCAAGAACTTGGATACCTGCATTCCTGAAATACTCGATTATCTGCGTGTAAGTTATATAGCTGAACTCGTTGTCAAAGAGCGCCACCTCCTTCAGGCCTTCTTGCTGAATGTAAAGGAGCTTGTAGCTGAAGTGGACAACACGGTTCCCCTCAATATGCACGCTTTGAAGATTATTGACTACGCTTAAGATATTTGGACCACCTCACATATTCTGTTGTGGGACAGGTCCAAGTGGGTCAGACTAGGGGACAACAAATGCGAGTCGCCTCTTAGATGCTCCAATAGGTTCCTAGACATGTTCACAAACTTAAGAATGGGTAGGATGTAGTCTTCCTTACCATCAAATTTCGAGGGCTCTAAAGTTGGTAGTGCCTTAGCGAGGTTTGAGGAAAGGTCTAGGCGGTAAAGCCTCCACATTCCTTTGAGAATGTCAGTTATGTCTTTCGTTGTCAGTTTGTTCCCATGCAGGTCGAGCTCGGTGACACATATTTGGTTCTCGAAATACAGATACGTCAAAAAGTTATTTCTCGCCTGGAACGTGCTTACGTTACCAGGAACATCCATTCTGTAGACCCCGATGTTGTCCACGATTATGGTCTTCGAGCTAGGAAGCTGCAGTTCATTAATGAAGTTATCGCTTAGATCCAACATGTTAAGTTTCTTAAGAATGGCCAAGGTCGATGGATATACGCTTGATAAATGATTTCCATTGAGAAATAATACCTGCATCTTGGGGTTCTTATTGAAAATGTCTTCCGGTAGATTAAATAGTGTATTACCTCTCAAGTCAAGGTACCGTAGTTTTACCAGTGGATGGAATACTCTCTCTTCAAAATATACTATTCTGTTGTCGTTCAAAGTTAGCATCCACAGCTGGGTGAGTCCAATAAAGGCGTCCGGAGAAACAACTGCTATGCCATTTTCTCCCAGCCCGAGAGTCTCCAGAAGGGGCAATTGCAGAAACATCTTCTCTTCCAGTCTCAAAAGCGTTCCATTCCGAAACTGAAGCGAGCTCAGATTGCCCACAACACTGAGATCTTTCATCTCTAAACGAAGCCAGAAGCAATTGAATATTTCCAAGATTCGAAGGTTTGGTGTGAGTTCCATGATTGTCAGATTGTTGCACTCATTTAGCTGAAGCTCCCTTAGATCTGGATCCAGACTGAGTAATTCCATTTCACTTTCAACTGCAGAAGTCGCATCCGTTTCCGTACTGGAGATCGACAAATCAGTAAGTCCCAGAACGAAGGTGGTTGGAATCAGTAATATATACAGAGTATAATTCATTTAAAATTGTTACTTTTCGTATCTCGTGCGAACTAAGCAAAGGGGTATCTAAAGCCGAGATGCACAAAATGATCTGAAAATCTAGACTTATCAGATATTAAGCTTTGTAGCAATATCTTTAAAAGCTTTTTTTAAGTGTCTTTCCCATTGGTGTTAGTGCACAAAAAAATAATGTAATACAATTTTTAATACATTTATTTCGTTCCGTATGATAATAATATAGATGTAGATTTTATTTAAATAAAATTCTTTCAAGAAAATAAACATTTTTAAGGGGAAAAAGCTTTCCTACCTCAGAGAGATTGAACTACTCAGCGTTTGAGCGCTAAATTCAGATATATATATACATAGATACATTTTTAGCGCTAGAACAGATACATAGATACTTATACTTATCGATAGTTCTACATTAGTTCCACAGCAACGAGCTTTTAACGAATCGATCATATGGGATTTATTGGCGCGGAATTAAACGCCAATTATTTAAAAGTTAACTAAATAAATATTACAATTATTTTGAAATTATGGAAATCTAAATTTATAAAGAGATCTTGCTCACCCCACAAGCAGTAGTAGTTCCATTACATTTCATAGGCAGCTTTGTTTTAAGAACCCATTTTGGTTGGTTTCAGTAAATACATCAAATGCCTGGAACATCTTTGCTTATCACGGACAAGCCTCCAGCATGTTCCACATAAAAAGAGTCTTAACTTGGCAAATACAAGACAGCGAAAAAAGAGAGAGAGATCCTTTAATTCCCTGCATAATTCCAAATCAGACAAGCGTTAAAAACATTTCATTATAACGCTACACAATCGGAATATTTAATGATTTAATCGGTCGAGCGAATCAGGGAAAAGCGACTGGGACAACAACAGAATCAAGCAGACACCTAAGCAAAGGACGCTGAGCTCGGAGGCTGCCAAGGAGGCCAAGGATGCCGTCTCGATAAACTGCTTCAAATTCACAGATTTTAAATTTAAAATCGTTGCCACACGGCGGCGCAGGGCAGGCGAAGATGTAAAAAGCAGCCAGCTCGGTCTCTCTCTTTCCCCTCCTTGACCGAGGTCTTCCCCCCAAGCCATGACATGGAATACCATTTCATTCCATTCCCAAGTTGGCCAACGAACGTTGGCTCGATATAATGGCGCGAGTTTCATGTTTACAAAAAAGATTATGCAGCCCAAAAACAAGAACCACGAGATACAAACGTGCAGAGGTTGCAGGCGACTCGCAGACCTGGAGATGCAACCTGAAAACTGGGAACTGAGAACTGAGAAACTGAAACTGGAGTTCTAATTAAACAATTCGTAGAATTTCGCGTTAATTGCGAGAAAACGACTTGAACGTGCCCGGCGGATTGGCTGTGGCTCTGGGACCCTGGATGCTTCTTTGCCCCCTCTAAGTACCCCAATTCCCCGGCTCTCACCGAAATCCACTAACCAGTTGACACGTTCTGGTGGAGTTCTTTAAAGGCAGGCACACCTGGAGAAACAGTTTCTTAAGTCAGTTTCAATACATTATTTATTAAGCATTTTCAAATCATATTTTATACAAAAATACGTTCTAAGTAAATGTTTTTCAGAACCCTGCACTTTAAAAGGATACATTACTTTTTTATTTCATACAACAACATTTTATTTCGCATTTCTTCGAGTGCCCTGAGAAAGCTTTGCACTTTGCCTAGACTCGGTGTCATTCTGTGGGCTTCCATTTGACGAGGATGAGCTCTGTTATTAACACGCCTCCCGGCATTACCCCTTAACCATCTTTGCCCTGCATTCCTCTCACATAAACATGGACAATGCCCTGGACTCTTTACACATGTGAGGGCTGGCCAACATTGGAGAGAAAACTCAATTCAAATTATCGGCAAACAAGATCGACAGATGTTCAGCTGGCACAACAACAGAAATGCCAAGATGGGGCAAGAGCGGCAGGAGGAGCCGAGAGGCGAGAGGTCATCGGGGTGCACCGACCGATCGGGGAGATCGATCTTCCTGCAGTCCGAAAAACCGAAACCCAAAGCCCGCGGACAGAGTAGAGCAGGCCAAAGCAGTCGCACGTCTCGCTGAGCAAATAACGCCCAAAAATAAAATAACACAAGGCAGAGAACTAAACCCTTTAATCTAAACCACTTTGGGCAGTGCCAGCGCAGATCCCTCCGACCGATCCGATCGACAACGCCACGCATATTTCGCATAACCCAGGCACACCTTTTCGCCCAGGCAGACCCAGAAGGGCAGGGTATATATAGCCCCGAAAAATGAGAATATAAAACCGAATTCGTACCACAAAGAACATAGCCACTCCAGAGATCCCCGTCCCGTCCCGTCGCTACCGTCATCATCATCATCATCGTCATCGACGGCACTCCAACTCCAACTCCAACTCCACTCCACTCCATTCTACCATTCTCCTGGTCGATCATCCTCACTCGTCATCCTGCTCGTCATCGTGTCCACATCCCTGGGTTCGCGCTTATCGTCCCGATTAATCTGCCATCGCTATCGCTGATAAGGCCACCAAATGGACGAAGCGATCCTCTTCAGAAACCCGACCATAAAGCCCAGCCACAACCGCATCATTGTTAGCCCAGTGCGCAGTGGCAGCCAACACTCATGTTTAAATTATGATGGCTTCTAACTTGAATGTGGGCATATGGGCTACCCTCCCTTACTCCCTTGCTCTCTGCGATCGTGTCAGAAGTCGGGCTGACTTACTATATGCCGCTGACATGGCTGACGACCCATTGACAAGGGCCACCGATTGACGACTCGTTCTTCCAGTCAATGAACAATTGAAGTTCGGCAAATGTAAAAGGGTCAACTCGAAGAAATGTTCCCGATCTAATGGGTAGATTGGGAAATAAATCCTTTACGAACTAAACACTTTATTCCATTCCATATTTGATAAGCATATATGATTTATAGGAAATGCATTGGGTGTTTCCTGTCTAATAAATAGTAAGTTTTCTAAAATATTATTTTAATAAAATGTATTAAAATAAAATAGAAATCACCCAATCTTTTATAATTTCAACAAAATTTCAAAGTCAACTGCCCAGCTTTCTATGGGTAATCTTAATTTCAAAATTTACAAATAACTTCTTATAATAGTCTAAGCCACAATCACTTAATTTCCACCACTGCAAATACCTTCATTATCAAATACGAGTGCTGTGCAATTAAGATCATATTTCCAGCGATAATCCCAGGCGAAGTAGACATAAGTTGAGTCAATACCTTTGGGAGCTATCTGAATTATCTAATCGGTCTCATCTACATGGGTTCATCCTGGCGTATGCGCAATGCGCCTTTGTCACTGGCAGCTGCTGCTGATCGGCCCTGCGATTTCCCCGCCCATCGACCAAGCGAACAAACAAAAATCTCTGAATGAGATTTGACTGGGCTTCGGTTTATTTAAACACAATCGCTGATGCATAATTAATAAAAAGGTCTTTTTTCAATATGATTTTTTCTGTGCGTTTTGTTTACGTTTTTTTTGTTATTTTTTGCTGTCTGTTGTCTGTTGACAACACGCCCCAAAAACGGTGGCCGTTTGTTGGTTGGCTGATTCCGTATCCGAATCCGCATCCGAATCAGAATCTGGTTCTGGCTGTTTTTGTGGTTGTGCCTGCTCTGTGCTGCTGCCGCTTATCTTGTAAATTGAATTATGAAATCGTCAACTTGAATCCGAACTGAACAGAGGCTGCTCCTTTCAGCCCATGGAAGGGAAAATCAGTTAAGAGCCATGACGACGACGACGACGACTAACATACAACTACAACTGGAGAATCACAGCTGCCCAATGACCATATCCCTGCCTTTCAGTGATATCAATTCAGCGAGCTTTTATCCTGTTTTGGTTAGCTTTAAGGATTTTCTAAAATAAAAATATGAACGTCATTAGATAATTAAGATTCAAACTAATGACTGAAAGTACTTATAAATATGTCTTTATTTTCTGCAAGGTAAAGAATACTACATGAAATACATTTTACATTTATTTATCATAAGGGTAAGACACTTTTTAGCTTTCTGCTGGCAGCACTGATGCCAGTGAGTGAGCAAACAAAACGGGCATTTAACATAATCATATCATATCGTCGTGGGCATCACATCGCTACCAAGCTAAAGCCACTCAAGTTGGACCAGGAATGGGTGTGGGTTATGGCCATGGTCCTGGGGATAAGTCTGAGCCTGAGCCTGGCCATTTGCATATGTCTTTTTGCCCTTGCCACGCCCCTTGGCTTGACTTGTTTGCTTGGCAGCAGCAGCAGCACCACGAATGAGCATCGTTTAGAAGCTATCTGCCTTTCATTGCTATATTTGCTGGCCTGCCTTTGATTTCTGCTGGGGAATGGGTTAGTCTGACTCTTCCTTGTCCATGTTTTCGAGTGAAAACCATGTCAAAAATCAACAAACTCGAGAAAAGAAGTGTTCTCAACTAAGATGCGACACTGCAAACTTAAACTATAATTTTTCAAAAATATTATCATATAAAAAAAACAATAAATATAGAGTAAACAGTACGAAGATTTTACTACTTCTTGAGGGCATAAAATGCTCAAAAAGCCATCGATTGCAAAAAGAAATACAGATTCAGAGTCGCAGTTAAAATCTTAATAAATAAAAAATAAAATATTGGCAAAATAGAAAAACTACATTTTTGTCGATTTTTCAAGATTTTAAAAGGGGTTACATCGTTAAAATTGTCAAAAATCTGGCAAAATTTGAATTTTTAATATATTGTAAGCCTGTATGCAGATTTATTAAGCTAACAAAAACTAACATTATAAAGCTTTTCGAATCGAAATAAATGCATTTTTAACATAGTTATGAAAGATTTTCTACACGATTTTACGAACCAATTGCAAGCTGCAAACTTGGTCTTTCTGAAGGTTTAATTTGAATTAAATTTCACGTGTTTGAACATTTAAGACTACTTGAGCAAACTAAATATCAGATATCTTTAACAATAGTTATAGTTATTTAAAA